TGAAATCTAGCAGTGTCCCTCCCATCCCTGAACGCCCCTTTCCCAAGACCCTCCCCTGGATCTGGGGGTGCAGCTTGTTGTTGTTGTTAGGTGCTGTCCAGTTGGACCTGACTCATAGCGACCCCTCCTTGGGTTTCCGAGGCCGTATCCCTATGGAAGTAGATTGCCCAACCTTCCTTCTGAGGAGTGGCTGGTGGGTTTGAACTGCCAGCCTTCTGGTTAGCAGTCGAAAGCCTTAGGCATTACGCTACCAGAGCTCCTGGGGTACAGCTTACTATCCCTTAAAAGTTCACAGCACAAATTTAGTAAAGATTTACTGCCTTGGAAACCCAAGGGGGCCGTTATGAGTTGGGATCCACTCGACGGCAGTGAGTTTGAGGTTTCTTTGACTCATATGGACGGGTACCAGCCGCAGCAGCGGTCACAGTCGAGTGGACCTGGCTCTTGATATGTGTCCCGCAGGACTGGCTCCACAGGGTTTCCGCGGTTGATTTTCAGAGGCAGAGCGTCGGGCCTCTCTTCCCAGGCACACGGGGTGGGCTCCCACCCTGAGCTTCAGGTGAGCACGGTTTGCTGCCCCGGGGAGTCCTGGGCTCCTGCAGGGTGTGTCGTGTGAAGAGTTCAGGCCGAGGCTGGCAGCCCCCACGCGCCTCCCCCATGGGCCCGTCCCAGGGCGTCTTTTCATGGTCCATTCCCCACCTTGTCTCTGAGGGGCCAGCCGGGTCATCTGGAACGTGTTGGGAACGCTGTGTGTTGTCTTCAGACCTGCTGCTGTGGGAACAGGTGGGGCCTGGAACCCAAGTCAGTCCTCCTGGGACCCCAGGACCCCTGCTGGCACATCTCACACACTCCTCCCTCAGAAATGCCCCCCACCACTGCCCCTTCGGAGGAGACCTGGTGGCACAGCAGTTAAGCACTCAGCTCCTGACTGAAAGGTCAGCAGTTCGAACCCATCAGCTGCTCAGCAGGAGAAAGATGGGGCAGTCTCTGCTTCTGTAAGATGACAGCCTTGGAGACCCTGTGGGCAGTTCCACTCTGTCCTCTAGGGGCGCTGTGGGTCGGAATGGACTCCACGGCAGTGGGTGTGGTTTGGGCTTTGCTTCTGTGAAGACTGACAGCCTTGGAGACCCTGTGGGCAGTTCCACTCTGTCC